TTCATTTTCCTTGTTTAGAATCAGAGGTGCTAGTTTCAAATCCTTTTTAGTCTGAAATCTGTATGCTTGATATTGAATAAGGTGGTTTTATTGTTTTTTGTCACTTTGAATAATATTTCTGTTCATGTTAAAAACGAAATCAACTCTCTGTATAAATATATCAGGTGACCGTTAAGGCCCATGGGCCTCTTGTTTTTGTTATTCTAAAAGGGGTCTTATTTATATCATTCCAATTAAAACTATTCAAATCTAACTTTTCTTCCCATTTTCTCCTCCCAGTAGCAATAGTATCTTGTTTTTACCATAAGAGTATAAAAAATATTTTATCCCTTTTACTCTTTTTATGAAAAATGTAACATTACAGGGTATGATAGGGTATACAATAGCATCCTTTTTACAATCAATTTTAGCTAAATATTTCTTTATTGTAGTTAATACACCATGATATTGGAGAAAATTAGTATTTACCTGATAAATTTGAACAAAGTCTTCAAATGTGTAAAAAGTACAAGTCTCAATGTCTTTTATTAAATCATAAATTATAGTCACTCCTTTATTATACCATGTCTTGAATTTTATTGATTTCCCCCCAATAGTAAAATTCCTATTGTACCATTATTGCATTTTCCCGATACAACTTTCATTATTTTTTTCACCCGCTCCCCTTCATTAAACCTTCTCCAAGCTTTAAAGACATCTTTCCAAAAATAATTTGTGCATGTATTAAGACATATTGGAACGTTATCACTTCCACAATGAGATAGCATATTTAAGTCAATACGTGTTTCTAAGATAACTTGCCACTTACCTGACTTGTGATATAATCTCCGTATCCACCTTAATTTTAAGGGATCTATCAATGACCTTATATTTACTATTTTAAGACCCCCTTCAAAATAGTTTTGAAATATCACATCTCTCTTTATTTTATCAGTTTTACTGTTCCATAAAAAGTTGAAGAGATTATTATTTAATTGATTCAAAAAATGATCATCAGGATTTAGCAATGCAATAAATAAATGGTTAAATTGTGATATCATTAAAGATTTTATCAGATGGATTCTACATATAGGAGTAAGTGATATTCTGTCCAATGTCTTGATAAGTGCTTTAAGTTTAATTAACTTTTTATCAAAATTTGATTTTGGAATTTCATGAAGATTGATACTAAATTCTATTCCCAGAAGCATGAATTTTTCCTTCCTCACTGCAAGTTTAAATCAGGTAAAAATGTATCTTCACTATGTATTTTGCTCCCTTTCCAATCCTCCTGGGTTTTGTCCATATTTAACTCAAAACTAGATATTTTAGCGCAAGTATTCAATTCTGATAAAGATTCTTTTAAAGACCTTTCTGAACCATCTAAAATGAGAGAAGTATCATCAGCATAGTGAGAAATAACGATTGGACTTTTATTTACTTCTATACCCTTAATCTTGTTTTATGCCTCATATTTCAACACCCAAATAAAAATGTAGGGGGCGATTGGATCACCTTGGCGACAGTCTCTTTTTATGTTTAGGAATGATGTAAGGTTACCACCTTTTTTATAGTTGAACTAACATTGGTGTGTAGTAGTCTTACCCAGCATCTAATATCAGAACCAACAATAAAATAATTTTAAAGTTTATCAACAAATTCCCATGAGACTGAGTCAAATGCTTTCTTAAAATCTACCATTAATAACATACCTGGAATATATCTTTCTTCTGCATATTGCATAATCTCATAAACTAATCTGGTATTTTCCCCTATATAACGGCATGAAAGAAATCCTGTTTGATCTTCACTAATTAATTTATCTAAAACTGTTCTAATTCACCTGCTATCGACCCGGACGCTATTTTATAGACCATATTCAATAACGTTATGGGTCGCCAAGTTTTTATGAATTGCCTAGGTTTATCTTCCTTGGAAACACATGTTATGCTACCTTGCCTTTGTGTTACTGATTGCAAACCTTTCCTATACCCACAACTTATAGATCTAACAATGAACCCCCCTAGCTGTTTCCAGAAAAAAATCCACAGTAAACCCAATCAGAACCAGGGCTTTTGCTATTTATATAAACAGATATTTTTATTTTTACTCGAAG